GAGTCAGGAGTCGGAGGTTGCAGTGAGCTGAGATCACGACACTGAACTCCAGCGTGGGCTACAGAGTGAGATTCGGTCTCAAAAACAAATAAACAAAACTTTACATTCATAAACAGGAACAGGCAGGATGTATTTTGATTACTCTTGTATTAATTAGTTTAAATTTGTTTTGTCATTTAATTATCCTAAATAACCTTTGCATAAGAAATCAGACCTGGTGCAGTGGCTCATGACTGTAATCCCAGCACTTTGGGAAGCCGAGGCAGGTGGATCACCTGAGGTCAGGAGTTAAAGACTAGCCTGGCCAACATGGGGAAACTCCATTTCTACTAAAAATACAAACATTAGTTGGGCATGGTGAGTGGACACCTGTAATCTCAGCTACTCAGGAGGCTGAGACAGGAGAATTGCTTGAACCCAGGACGCAGATATTGCATCGAGCCGCGATCACGCCATTGCACTCCAGCCTGGGCGACAGGAGTGAAACTCCATCTCAAAAAAAAAAAAAGAAAAAGAAATCAGAGGTTATTCAGCCTGACCACCTGACATTAATACTAGTATTCTACTCAGTAAGTAGCAAAACTGGAATTGAAACTCGAGTTTTCTTTTTTAAAAGATTTAATTAATTTTTTAATTGACAAATAAGAATTGTACATATTCATGGGGTACATAGTGATGTCTTGATATATATAATGTATAGTGATCAGATCTGAGTAGTTAGCTTATTCATCCAGACGGTTTTATTGTAAAGCTCAAAGCTATGGTCACAGAGATACATGTTTTTGGAGACTTCTTATGCTATTTGATTGTTTTACATTGCTTACTCAGAGCCTAACCTTTGCTTGACACTATAAAAATTGCATGTACTTGCACATGTATGTTTATGGTAGCACTGTTCACAATAGCAAAGACTTGGAACCAACCCAAATGTCCATCGATGATAGACTGGATAAAGAAAATGTGGCACATTTACACCATGGAATACTATGCAGTCATTAAATAGGATGCGTTTATGTCCTTTGCAGGAACATGGATGAAGCTGGAAACCATCATTCTCAGCAAACTAACACAAGAACAGAAATCCAAATACTGCATGTTCTCACTTATAAGTGGAAGCTGAACAATGAGAACACATGAACACAGGGAGGAGAACGTCACACACTGGGGCCTGTCAGGGGGTTGGGAGCTAGGGAAGGGATAGCATTAGGAGAAATACCTAATGTAGATGATGGGTTGGTGGGTGCAGCAAACCACCATGGCACATGTATACCTATGTAACAAACCTGCACGTTCTGCACATGTATCCCAGAACTTAAAGTATAATTTTAAAAAGCAGAATAAAAAGTTGCATGTACTTTTTCAATTCCCTTTAAATTATTTGCATAATTGAAAATGTTTTCACACTTCTCTCTTATTGAAGCTGTTCCTTGTTTGACTTTCATGATATCACCTCTCCTGGTGTTTTTCCTATTGCTTTAACAATTCTTTCTTTCTTCTCTTTTCTTTCAGTTATAGTTGTTTTCCATAGAGTTTTATCCTTATGTTTTATTTTTTAATCTACACTTTCTCTAGTATAGAGAATTTTTCAACATGGAATTAAAGATGATTATGAATCAGGTACAACTGGAGGCTGTGAAGAGACTTGGAAATAAAAGCATATTACCAAAATTTAAAACTCAAGCAAATAGCTGAAAGTTATAGACATAGCTGAGAACCCATTCTGTAGGGTGTCTATAAGGAACTCTATCATAATGTAAAGCAAGAAGACAAAGAGAAAATTAGGAAATATTAATTCAGCAATATGGAGGATAGCTTTAAATAGTTAGGAGGAATTTTAGGAAGAGGAAGTAGAAAGGCCCAAAAGGAATCCACAAAGAAACAAAAAAAAAATTTCCTTTGCTAAAGCAACATTTGAACCATCAGCCTGAAAATACAACAGATTCCAGGCAAAAATACATCATGCAAACACACCAGGACACGTCCTGGAAAAATCTTAAACTTCTATGATAAAGGGAAAATCTTAAGTGTTTCCAGATGGAAAAGTTAAAGAACAAGAATTAAACTGGTATTTGTTTTCTTGTTCCTAAATGCTGAAACCAATTTAGAACTTCCATTTGGTTCCTTTATGGGTTTTTATTTCTGTCCAGAAATACGAGTCTCTCCAGTCTCGGACTTCAAAGTTTATGAAAAAATAAAATTTAAAAAGGAAAATTTTAAATGTAAACTTTATTTTTTAATAGATGCTCCATCAATTTCAAGACACTTTTGTAAATGGTGATACTAGCCATTTAGAGCATCCCTAAAGACCTGAGTCTCCTGAGTACTTAACCATGTTAAGATAGTATTTATTACATTATCAACTAAACAAAAATGGGTGTCCTTTAAAGATTTTTTTAAGATCAGGAGACAAAAAGAAGTCAGAAGAAGCCAAATCAGAACTGTAAAGTGGACGCTCATGATTTCCCGTTCATGCCTTTCCTGAAACAAGGGCGGTCTGGCAAGAGTTTTCTTGGGAAATCATGAGCGTCCAAATCAGAACTGTAAAGTGGATCCTAATGATTTCCCATTGAAAAATGAGCAGGAGCATTGTTGTAGAGAAAGACTCTAGTGAAGCTTTTCTGCTAAAGTTTTATCTAACTTTTTCAAAATACTTTTATAGTAAGCAAATGCTATTGTTCTTTGGGGTTTTAGAAAGTCAACAAACAAAATGCCATGAGCATCCGATAAAATTGTTGCAATGACTTTTGCTCTTGACTGGTTCACTTTCACTTTGACTGGACCACGTCCACCTCTTGGTGGCCATTGCTTTGATTGTGCTTTTTCTTCAGGATCATATTGATAAAGACATGTTACATCTCCTGTTACAAACCTTTGAAGAAGTGCTTCGACAAAGCATTTTCAAAGTGGGATCATCCTGCTTGTTTAAAATTTCCATGGAAAGCTTTGCTCTTGTCTTCAGCTGACCTGGGAGCAATCACTTTGGCACTCAGTGAGTGGTAAGTTTGCCTGACTTTAATTTTTCAGTCAGAATTATGTAAGCTTAACCAATTGAGATGTCTACAGTGTTGGTCATTGTTTCTGCTGCTTAATCATTAGTCTTCTACAATTAGGGCATGAACAAGATGAATTTTTCCCTCACAAACTGATGTGGATGGTCAGCTGCTGGCTTCATCTTCAACATTGTGTTGTCCCTTCTTAAAATGAGTTACCCATTTGTAAACTGCTGACTTCTTTGGGGCATTGTCCTCATGAACTTTTCATAAAGCATCAGTGATTTCACCATTCTTCCACCCAAGCTTCACGACAAATTTGATGTTTGTTCTTACTTCAGTTTTGGCGTAATTCATGTTGCTGTAATAGGGGCTCTCTTCAAACTGATTTCTTATCCTTAGTACCTCAAACTAGATTCCATTCAGACATATTATAACAAGTTAGTACGAGCTTATTTTGGTGCAAAACAAAAAAAAAAACTTTAAAAATTCATGCATAGTTTTTTCACTATATGCATTTTCCATGAACTTTTTGAAGACCCACTTCATGTTTATAACAGGTGTTTTAAAGACTTTGCTATTTGCAGAAAGTGGGTCATCTGTAACCTGCTTCTATTGATTTTTTTCCTCATTATGAATCAAAATTTCTTGCTTCTTAACAATTCTCAGTTATTAAGTATAAAAGGATAGTAGATATTCAAGTGTAATTTTTTTTTTTAATTTTGTTTTGCCTTGTTATATCCCTGGAATGTAGTAAGCCCTTTCCTCTGTCTGGCAGTTTGAGTGAGTAGCTTATCATTAATAGTTCCCATAGAATTAAATTGATCTGGGGCAAGGTCACAGTTTTAATTAGATTGAGTTCACCTGTAATTAGCCCAACCCTCAACCTCTCTCACCAAAACTACCTTTTTAAAATTTAAAATTTATTTATTTTTATTTTTATTTTTTCCTTTTTTTTCCTTCCACAAATCATGTTGAACACAATTGCCTTTTAAATCTTATCAATGTTTGATGTAGGAAGGGGTGGGGCTGCAGTTTTAGTGTTTTGGGTTTACTTTAAAATTAAAATCTCAGAATCCAACTCTTATGAACTATGTGGTACCATACAATTTGTCTCTGCTTTGAAATCCCTTCTTTGTGCCACTTTCTCAGCAAAATTATTTGTTGTACAAAGCAATTTATTTTTGCATTGGGGACTCTTCCAAATTCCAATCTGTCCTGCCAGCCCATCTTTCATGCAAATTTTATTCAATTTGTCCTTTTTCTACAACATCTTTGTTAATGGCAGGCCGTCTCTTCTCTTGAGCTGTATCATAGACTAGATTCCTGCTCCAGATCTGGGAGAAGGCTCTCTGCTTACCTACAAAGAGCTCATTTCTAGATGGAATTCAGTCCATCAAAGGTTTCTTATATGCACTATAAAAAGGTAGAATTTTTATTTTGTCCATGGTTTTCTTATTGTTTCCATGGAATGAAAGGAGCTTTGTATCCTTTTCTATCATCATCAAGAGAAGGAAGTCTCAAAAGCCAACATCTTCTTGATACTCATTAGTTATCAGGTAGCCTAAGGTTAAAACACAAAGACACTGATTCAGACTTAACAGGAGATAAGACCATGAACAAGACACCAATGTAGGATTTCTAAAGACATAGACATAAGACCAGTCAAGCGTGACCCTCACAAGAAGGAGAAACATTTCTACAGGGAAGGAACAGGAAAGAAAGAGGATACAAAATCAAGTTTTTAGCTCTTGGCAACCTCATGTTCTTTTTCCTTTCTTCCTTCTATGTGCAACTAATATGTGACAGGTGTATATTTTTGCACATGTAGTAATTACATATTGCAGGAAGATTTACTCACTAAAAAACTGAAAGTACTATGGTTTAATCTTGAGAAATAAAATATAATTAATTTTGGAGGTCGCCGCACAGAGCTGGAGCAGGAGACACGGCCGAGAGAAGGGAGGAAGAGGAGGTGAAGGAGGAGGAGGAGGAGGAGGGGAAGGGGAGGGGAAGGGGGAGGGGGAGGGGAGGGGGGGAGGAGGAGGAGGAGGCGGCAGACCGCTGACATCGTCAGTATTTAAACAGACCACATCATGCATGAATACAAGCTAGTGATCCTTGGTTCAGGAGGCGTTGGGAAGTCTGCTCTGACGGTTCAGTTTGTTCAGGGAATTTTTCTTGGAAATTATGACCTAACCATAGAAGATTCCTACAGAAAGTTAAGTTGAAGTCGATTGCCAACAGCGTACGCTCGAAATCCTGGATACTGCAGAAACAGAGCAATTTACAGCAATGAAGGATTTGTATATGAAGAATGGCCAGGGTTTTGCACTAGCATATTCTGTTACAGCTCAGCCCACGTTTAACAACTTACAGGACCTGAGGGAACAGATTTTACGGGTTAAGGACACAGAAAATGTTCCAATGATTTTGATTGGCAATAAATGTGACCTGGAAGATGAGTGAGTAGTTGGCAAAGAACAGGGCCAGAATTTAGCAAGACAGTGGTGTAACTGTGCCTTTTTAGAATCTTCTGCAAAGTCAAAGATCAGTGTTAATGAGATATTTTACGACCTGGTCAGACAGATAAATAGAAAAACACCAGTGGAAAAGAAGAATCCTAAAAAGAAATCATGTCTGCTGCTCTAAGCCCACAGTAGCAGCAGCTTTGAGCCAGATTACAGGAATGAAGAACTGTTGCCTAATTGGAAAGTGCCGGCATTCCAGACTTCAGAAAATAAATCTGAAGAGGCTTCTCCTGTGTTATATATTATGTGAAGAATTTAGATCTCATATTGGTTTGCACAAGTTTCCTGGAGAAAAAAATTGCTCTGTGAATATTTCTTGGAAAATAAGACAATAGTATTCCTCCTTTGCAATAGCAGTTATAACAGATGTGAAAATATACTTTAATATGATTATACAAAAGATCATGGATGCATTTCAAATGTTAGATATTGCTGCTATAATCAAATGATTTCATATTAACCTTTTTATCATGATTCCTCCCTATCAAGCACTAAAAAGTTGAACCATTATACGTTATATCTGTAATGATATTATGAAATGTCCCCTCAAACTCATCCCAGCAGATAATTTTTTGAGTCATTGACTTCATTTTATATTTTAAAAATTATGGAATATCATCTGTTGTTATATTCTAATTAAAATTGTGCATAATGCTTTGGAAAAATGGGTCTTTTATGGGAAAAAAACTGGGATAACTGATTTCTATGGTTTTCAAAGCTATAATATATAAAATACTAAACCAATAAAAAATAATTTTGGAAATTCCATTATTTTTGATACTTCTTTGGTCCCAAATAACTGTCCAGTTCACTGTATCTACACAAAGACACTCAACTACAATTACTCTTGAACAACATGGGTTCAAACTGTGCATGCCAACTTACATGTAGATTTCTGAGAATAAATGCACTGAAAAACTTCTGGAGATTTTTGACAATTTGGAAAAACCAGCAGATGAACTTCATAGCCTAGAAATATTTTTAAAACTATGAAAAAGTTAGGTATGTCATAAATGCATAAATATATGTAGATACTAGTCTATTTTATCATTTACTACCATAAAATATACACAAATCTATTCTAAAAAGTTAAGACTTAGCAAAATGTACACAAACACAGATTATACATGGTAGCATTTGCAGTTGATAAAAGAAAAACTTCAGCCAAATTAAATTTAAAGGAGTTTAACTGAGCAATGAAGGATTTGCGAATCATGCAGCCCCCTGAATTACAGCAGATTCACAGAGACTCCAGGATGCCTCATTATCAGAACAAATTTATAGACAAAAAAGTTAAAGTGACATTCAGGAATCAGAACTGAGGTACAGAAACAGCAACATTGGTTACAGCTCAGCGTTTGCCTTATTTGAATAGTTTGAACACTCAGCAGTCTATGAGTGTATGAAGTATGGCCACTAGGATTGGCCAACATTCAGCTATTGTTATGGGTGCATACTATTAAGTTAGGTTTTCAATTTTGTCTGACTATTAATCTAGGATACAGTTCATCCAAAAGGGCTCAGATATAGAAGTACAGAGTCCTTCTCAGGCCATATTTAATTTGCTTCAACGATTTTTCCCTTCTGGGCATTTTCTCAATTTTGAGAGATTGACCAAAACCTTAGTCATTGATGTGGCTATCACTATTGTAAATGTACTTATATGGTTTTGAAACCCACTGGAAAACAGTAGAACAGTGGGTTTTGCAAGGAGGGAATAAGGACTGAGTAGAGAGAGGGTCCCTCCTTAAGCTGGAACATCCTGTTTACAGGAGAAAAAGCAAAATCTGGTCTGTTCTAGGATTTATGTGTTTTCCTGAAGGCTTAGTTTGATTATGTCAGATTTAGCATGAGTGACTCCATTTTAGTTTGGTTTGGTTTGGTTTGTTGGGGCCTAGTGCATAAGCTCAATCCAAAATAATGGCCTCTCATAATTTTGTTTAAAAAATTCTCCCTTTTAGGCCAGGTTCTCACTTAGGTGAAAGTGTAACTAAGACATAGGGCCTAATACCACTCTCAGTTACCAGCATTTTGCATTTCTGGCCTCAGCATGTCGTTCATAGGTTATGGTGTCCTCATGGTTGCACATGTCTTTTAGCTTTTGTCATTCCAGTTGAAGAGAGACCATTTGATATTCTGGAGATGGCTGCATGCAAACATTTAAAACCTTTGAGAGAATACAGCATGCCAGGGAGACTATTATTATGACCATTGGGAGACTAATACCAAAAGTTTGGAGTATGCTCCTTACCCAGGGTCCCCATGGACCAAACTATGTAAAATTAAATAGATGAAAGAATGAGCTAGATGAAGAGTCTACTCACTTGACTAAGTGGTTTTTTCATTAATTCCCCTACAACTGAATTTTTATAACCTACACTTGATGGATTTCTCCATAGGTCACAAGTGTCAGCAGCTGCACAGGTACTTTTTGTGTAGCCAATTCTATTATTTAGCATAACTTTCACAAGAGAATTTAAAGTCTATTGTGTAGCGACAGCCTTCAAGGTAGAATTTGCTGTAGAACCCGTTATGAGAGAGACATTTCTAAGTATCACCTCGTTTATTCTAAACCGTGGGAAAAGGACCTAACAAATGATGTCCTAGAAGACTGAAGGCCTCCTGGCAATGTTCTCTTTAATCCAGGATGTGGCTTAAGAGGAGTTTTGACTGATTACGAGGCAACGTATATACCATTAAAGTTTCTTACCTACATTGGGGCTTCATCTTTTATCTATTAAAAGCATCAGATTATTCATGTATAAGGCTGGCTATAAAATCCTTCACAAATAAAAGCATTCCCTATGAATGCACATAATAGATCCCCCTTTCATTTCTATTGTTCATAGAGATATAAACAAGGAAAAAATATTCAAAGATAGGAGTCTTGTGATAGTAGATATTTTGATCTATGATCTTGGGAAAAGCTGTTCACACAAAAGATGCCATCTTTTCTGAGGAGAAACTTTCCTGGTTAGTTTTACCTTAAAGGTTCCAATGGGTGTACAGTTCCAGGAGTGTGAATAGACCTTTCTCCGTTGTGAGATTATGAACCCAAGGTTCAAGTCTCCAAAGTTTTGCTGTAGTGTGGATGGCAATGACAGTCTTTCTCTGATGTTCTCAGAAGATCCAGTCTTCAGGTTCTAGATTGTGAAGGGGTTGTCCTCAGTGAACCATAAAAAACTTTCTTTACCTGGTGAAAATACAGGTAGAATAATAATCTACTATTATAACATCAGCCCTCTTGCATGGGAAAGCTTTTATACAACAAGAAAACATGCATTGAAAATGACATCCCTTTATAAATGTTCAAATGGCCCATTAGGTAGCCAAATGTACCTGAGGCTTTGAATGTCTTTTCAGGAATATGGAACCAAACATTGATTTTAAACTATTTTCACAATTTATAAGTCACCACATTAATATGTTCAGTTTGGATTATTTTATCTTTTCCATGATGAGTCATGGAATGCAGAACCTTTAATAACAAAACCTTTAAGGACTTGGGAAGGACAAGGCAGCCGTCCTGGTTCTTCATGAGTCCATGCTTAACTTCGGACTAATGTCCTCTTGAATACCAGTTGTTTCTCCAATTTAGGTACACAGCACTGATAACTAATGGGTTATCATAGTTAATAGTTAAAGCAAACTAAAAATGGCCTGAGAAGGACTCCATACTTCTATATTTCAGTCCTTCTGGATGAACTGTAACCTGGCTTAATAGTCAGACAAAATTGAAAACCTAACTTAATAGTATGCACCCATAACAATAGCTGAGTGTTGGCCAATCCCAGTGGCCATACTTCAACCCCTCATACACTGCTGAGTGTTCAACTGTGTTCAAATAAGGTAAACGCTGAGCTGTAACCAATGTTCCTGTTTCTGTACCTCACTTCCAATACTTGTACATCACTTTATCTTTTTTGTGTACAAATTAGTTCTGACCACAATGCACCCCAGGAATCTCTGTGAATCTGCTGTGATTCTGGGGGCTGCCCAATTCACAAATTGTTCATTGCTCAATTAAACTCCTTTCAATTTAATTTGGCTGAAGTTCTTTTATCACAGTCAAGAGAAATGTAGACAAATGTAAAGATACTGTATTAAACCATAACTATATAAGATTAACTTAGTTCATACTATAGTACTGTAATAATTTCATAGCCATATCCTGTTGCCATTACAGTGAACTCAAGCGTTGCCAGTCTTCTCTTAAAACATCTTGTGGAACCAAAAGAGAGCCCGCATAGCCAAGCCAATTCTAAGCAAAAAGAACAAAGCAGGAGGCATCACACTACCGGGCTTCAAACTATACTACAAGGCTACAGTAATCAAAACAGCAAGGTACTGGTACCAAAACAGAGATATAGACCAATGGAACAGAACAGAGGTCTTGGAGGCAACACAACATATCTACAACCATCTGATCTTTGA